GCTGGACTACGAAGGCAATGGCCGAGCGGCAGCCCAGTCCAGACGACGTGGACTTCAAGAGCTGGATCAACGACCGCCCCGACGACATGCCTGTCCGGGCAACGCGTGCCCTTCCAGGGCTGTGTCCGACGTCCTTACGCACGGCCCCGACGCCCCCGGGACTAGGGCTGGCCTGACCTGGCATGCACGGGCACGCCACGGATCCAGAAGGACTCCGTGACGGCTTCAACCTGGTCCACGGGCTCCCTCTCGCACAGCCGATGAGGGAGATGTTCCTGGCCAAGCGCTGGCACGCGGGCTGGTACTGCAAGGAATGCCTCATCCACCAATGGGACATGTCCCCATCAGCCGTGAGCCAGGTACTCAACAGACACGGCCCTGACGCATACCCATGAGCAGGGGCCAAACCTCCCCCCGCGCTACCGGGCATCCCCGCCTCCTCGGCAGAGGGCGCAGCACGCCCCAGCCAAGAGGGGATGCTGCGACGCGCAGCCGCCTGGGATGAGGCTGAGCGCAGCTACACCACGCGAAATGGTTAAGAAATCATGGGTTAAGAAATTCATGGTCTCAGAACTTGAATAAGAACCCAAAATTTCTCTCAAAATCTTAAGATTTACATTGAAACGTTAAGAATAAACAAGACTCTGGCCGAAAATCTAAGTTTTCTTCTGCATCGCCTAAGGTGTACTACGACCGCCTCTGCACTGCCACCCCCCGCCCGGGATCCCGACGCTGCAGCTTCCGACCCGGCACACCCACTGGAAGCGCAGCAGCCGGCGGGGCCCAGCAGCCGGGCGCGCGCCCCGAGCAGACACCCGGCCCAACCCAATCAAAAAGGCCCACCAAGGAAAGGCGCGTGACACCCTGCCCAACACCCACCAAACCGCCCACTAACGGAGGCGATCCACCCCTTCCCCCTTCACTTCCACCCGCTCCGCGCGGCGACGAGCCGACCCCAGCCCAGCCGGCCACGCGACCCACGGCCACCGCGTCCGGCGGGGCGCCGCCATCCGTCGGCCCGACATCTGAACCCCTCGGAAGGCGTGCAGAACACGACAGCCGTGAAGTGCAGCAAGGGCAGGTCCCGGACACGCCCATCGCGGGCTCCCTGTGCCCAACTGTCACGGACAACCCAGGCACCCAGTGCGGCGACTTCGCGGTCATCAGGGGCGACACCCTTCCCCGCGCCAGGTGGTTCAGCACTGCGGACTGCACCGAGCCCCTAACGAAACAGCCCCTGGGCGGAACCGTCTTCGGACCCGTCCTCCGTATCATGGCCCGCGAACAGGACGAGCGAACGCCTCGTCCAGATCGGCGGCGAGCGGCTGGAAGTACAAGGCGTCGGCGACAGGACGCTACGCGCAAACGCCCCCCGTGGAGACGCAGCGCTCCGCGCAGCCACCTTTCTAGACAATGCCGAAGGCAGGGTACACAGAAAGCACGCACCAGCGATCCTCGACAACCCCTCGAGAGGCATCGACACCACGGGAGACAAAGCGGCGTCCTCAGGAGACATGCAGGACAAGCCCAAGCCTGAGCCCTACCCGCCGCAATCCAGCACACAGGACCCCACCTACGAGCCTGCACCCCTCATGCCCCCTAAGGAGGAGGACCCCGACTGGGGCAGCGACGACCAGGTACAAGAGCAGAAACTGCGCCTCGCCGAGGCCCTGAGCGAGGTCCATCCTGTCCCCTCACCCTCAGACTCGGACATAGTCGAAGAGCACCGAGCCAAGACGAGTCCTCAGAGCGAGCGGCACACCAGCCCCGAGATCGACCCGCGCAGTACCGACCAGAGGGCTGCCCACGCACCCGCCGAGCCAATATTGCGTCTAGAGGCCGCGGCCGACGACCGGAACCTGCACGCGCGGAACCGCTCCAAGGGCCCGGAGGACCCACGACCTGCGCCCACCCCTCTCTCCGCGCACCTCCTAAAGCGCTCGCGCGGCAGGGTGCGGGAGCCGATCGCCTGGGAGCCGTGCACGACGGCGGTGAGGCGCGAGTCCAGAGAGGACGACCGGCCCCGCACAGGAAAGCGAGACCGCGACCGCGACGGCGAACGCAACCAGAGCGCGCCGGGGGCACCTCGGCGCAGACACGACGCCAAGGACTGGGACAGAACTAAGGGGCGCTACTGGGACCAGAGCCACGACACTAGCATGGGCGCAGGTAGCGCACCCTGGCGCCAGCCACAATCGCGCAACTCTTACTACAAGGACGATCGCAGCCACACCGACACCAGCCGGACGCGCACCACCTTCCGCGTTGGATGGCAGCGCCTCCCAAACGAGACAGCGGTAACACACCTGAAGAGGCTGCAAACAGAGGGGGGATACCACTTCAACGCAGCCTGGCATGCGCGGCGCAGGCGCATGTGCAAGGAGCAGGGCACGGGCAAATCCAAAGACCAGGCGGCCTTCGACCCGGGACGCTGGCAGCAGTGGATCATCGACAAATTCCTGGATGACATGAGCGCCAACAACTACCACGTGGACCGATGGTCCAGCAGCGCAGGCGTCTACGTGGACTGGGAGCGGGAGCAGAAGCTTCACCAGGAAGTGTAAAGGAAAAGGGAGGTCGCTAAGGGTGACGGGCGCGACGGGGGCCAGGCGCGCAGCTCCGGGTACCACGACACCTGGACTGGAAAGCGCCCGCGACGCTGACAGTCGTCAACCCGACCACACTTGCCCCACGGCACCACAGCATAACCAGCCAATCGCTCCCACTACCTGCGCCCCCGACCCCGACCCACACCCCAACCTGTCACCTGGCTGGGGACCGCGTGTCCCTCTCTTCCCCATTACCTGCACCCCATCGCCCCCGTGGCGCCCGCGTTCCACGTGCTGGCTACCCACCCTTCCACCTGGACCCCATCCTTTCCTCCCTTTCCCCTCCCCCTCTCCCGTTTCCAGGGATCTGGGACCCTGTGTCCTACCTGTACCCATCGGCTGAATGAGATTCAAGGATCTGGGACTCTGTGCCCCCCCTGCACCCACCTGCGACGCATTGGCGCGCCAGCGACTTGCGTGACACGCCCGCGTTGGGACCTCGTGTCTTACCTGTGCGCATTGGGGCTTGTCCCCACGTGAGCACCTCGGCGCATGCTGGCGCGACTTCGGCTGGCGCGGGGCGCCGGCCTCTCCTCCCCGTTCGCTTCTAGCCCCCCCGCTCGCTCCCTCCCCCACATGGCGGCGGCGCCCGGCACAGCGCGGCCCCGGCCCGGCGCTTGGCACTGCACCTTGCCGCTTCGGCGGCCCCGCTTACCCTGGGCAGCGCGGCTCAGGCCCAGTCCTCGGCCACGCGGACACAGACGGCCCTGCTTCTGGCCGCGCCTTTTGGCTGCTTCCTGGACGTGGATTGGACTACCACCCCAGGCCGCTACCGACCACCCGGTGGCACAACGATGCACATCGTCTTCGTGGTCATCCTCATCACCTGGGCCTCTCTTCACCAGTTGGTGGCACCTGTTGCTCTTCGCCTACCTGGTGTACCTCTCTACCCCCCGGACGTCGACCTGGTCACGCCCCTCCGCGCGCAGCACTTGACAAGATGGTGATTTCGACGCGCCGTCGACGGCAACACCACTTCGCCCTCCTCCGGGATTTCGCCTCCGGCTCCTGTCCAAGGCGCACCGTTTCCTGCGCAAGCTCCTCAGCAACGCCTGCACGCCGAGCCCTCCGGCCGCCCGAGTCCCCGCCCGCCCGCGCCCTGTCTCCTCAATGAGTGCTTTGCGCGGCCCGCCTAGCTCTTAACCAGAAGAGGCTCGCTCTCGACCCGCAGACCAACAAAAAAAAGTGCGCGTGCGTGTGCGTGTGCGCGTGCGCGTGTGCGTGTGCGTGCGCGTGTGCGTGTGCGCGTATGCGTGTGCGTGTGTGTGTGTGTGTGCGTGTGTGTGGTGTGTGCGTGTGTGTGTGTGTGCGTGCGTGCGTGCGTGCGTGCATGCGTGCGTGCGCGCATGCGTGCGTGCGCGTGCGCGCGTGCGCGCGCGTGCGCTTGCGTGCGTGCGTGCGTGCGCGCGCGCGTGCGTGCGTGCGTGATGCGTCGTGCGTGCGCGCGAGCGAGCGTGCGCGCGCGCGTGCGTGCGTGTGCGTGCGTGCGTGCGTGCGTGCGTACGTGCGTGCGTGCGTGCGTGCGTGCGTGCGTGCGTGTGCGTGCGCGCGCGCGCGTGCGCGCGCGTGCGTGCGTGCGCGCGTGCGCGTGCGTGCGCGCGAGCGTGCGCGCGAGCGAGCGCGCGTGCGCGTGCGCGCGCGCGCGTGCTTGCGTGCGTGCGTGCGTGCGTGCGCGCGCGTGCGTGTATGTGTGTGTGTGTGGGTGCGTGCGTGCGTGCGTGCGTGCGTGCGTGCGTGCGTGCGCGAGTGTGTGCGTGCGTGTGTGTGTGTCCGTGCGCGCGTGCGTGCGCGCGCGTGCGTGCGTGCGTGCGTATGTGTGTGTGTTCGTGCGTGCGTGCGTGCGCGCGTTGGTGTGTGTGTGTGTGTTGTGTGTATGGTGTGTGTTGTGTGTTGTGTGTGTTGTGTCTTGTGTGTTGTGTGTTGTGTGTGTTGTGTGGTGTATGTGTTGTGTGCATTTTGTGTTGTGTGTTATGCTCGTGGTGTGTTATGTGTGTTGTGTGTGCTGTGTGCGTGTGTGTTATGTGTGCTGTGTGTTGTGTGTGTTGTGTGTTGTGTGTTGTCCCCAATCAGAGCCTGCCTCTGTGCGGGTCCTAGCGGATTCATAAGGTTAGGTGAGGTGCACTGCCGATTTCCCAAGTGCCCAGATGCCCGGTAGCCCTATAGCACTGTAGCCCCATAGCCCAATTGTCTCATAGCCCTATAGCCCTATAGGCCTATAGCCCTATAGCACTATAGCCCTATAGCCCTATAGCCCTACAGCCATAATAGCCCTTATAGCCCTCTAGCTATAGGCCTAGAGCCCTATAACCTCGTAGACCTATAGCCCTATAGCCCCATGGCCCTATAGCCCTTATAGCCCTCTGGCAGCGGGGCGAGACTCGCCGCTGGCGCCTCCACTCGTACGCGCACGGAGCCTGGCTCATCTTGTCGAGCATGATCGGCTGATTCGTATCCTTCACCTTTGCTTTCCCGCTTGCGATCGGGCCGCTGCTGCCCTTCTCGCATGTCTTCATCGGCTTGTCCGTGTACTTCACTTCGGGTGGCTCCATCATCTTCCTGCAGCAACACCCACACGCAATGCCGCCTAGGAACACCACCACCATGATCAGTGTCATGGCATGCCCCGTGTACGCGTAGAGCGCAACCTGGATCGCCGCTGCCACCAGGTCGGTGGCCCTCGTCTTGTAGCTCTCCACCTCGCACGTCGAAGCCGTCGCACTCTCCGCAGCCCCCTGTGCCAGCAAGGTGGCCAGTAGGCCTCTCCTTGCCCAGCTCCTGCTCGTCGCCACCGAGCACGCCTCCAGCTCCTTGTGCTTGCCCATCTCACTGCAACCGACGATGCCCGCCAGTCCTCGCAGGCACTCGAACCTCGCCACTGGATGGGCCTTCGTGTCCAGGTCGGCCACGTTCGTCCGGACACCCTGCCTCGTCGCGAACGCCGCGCAGCGCACCCCGTCCAGCTTCGCGACGCCGCAGGTCATCGCACTTCGCGTCTCCTTGCACGTAGCGACGTCTGTCCGTGAACACCTGCAACTTCACCTCGCCTGGCTTGCTCGCCGCCCACCTTTTGCAGCGCGACGCACGTCTTGGCCCCTTCAGGTACCTCGCGAGCTTCACCAAACGTTTCCTGTCGAATTCCGTCGGCTTGTTCAAGTTCCGCGCCAGCAACTGCACGCCCCTCTGGACGTCTGCCCTGTCGGAGGAAATATAGAGGGATCCCAACACCTGCGCGGAACTTCGCCTTCTCCACGTCATCCAAGTCGGGGCTCCAGGTCGGCCCCTCCTCCGTCAAGCCTGGCACCTTCGCGGGCTTCGCCTTCTCCAGGCCTACCACAAAGATCAGGTCCTCGATGTGCTTGACGTTCACCCCGAGCATCACGTCACCGCTCATAAGCCTCAACTTGCCCCGCTTCAGGTGAGTAGCGCCCGTGCCCGATGACGTCCGTCGCCTTCAGGTCGAACACTTCCCTCAGCCTCTCGATGATCCCGCCCAGGTTCCCTATCGGTCCTTCGCCATGGAGACCGTCCATGTGCACCTCGATCAGGATCTCCTTCTCCTTGCTGTGGTAGAACTGCGGCTGGCACTCGCACCTCTCGAAGCCTTCGCCCTGGAATGTCTTCGCGGCCTTGTCTACCCACCCAGCGCCTGCCACACGCTGCCCAGACAGCTTCCTGTCCAAAGCCCAAACAATGCCGGTCGATCTGCCCATCTCAACCGAGATCGCCAGGCACTCCGGCTGTGACCCCACGCAAACCTTCTCCGCCTGGTCTGCCTGGTAGTATGCCTTCACGCAGTCCGCGATGAAGGTCCCGTGGCTCTCTTCCCTGATGCTGGCGAAGTCCACCAGCCTGCTTCTGCGCCGATGAGCTCGCCGCGAACAGGTCGCCCCGCTGCTCCGTCCACTTGAACTCCTGGGCCACGCACCTCCACTCGCAGACACCTCCGCGCATCTGCAGCCCCCAGCGCGCCCTGATCATCTTGAAACTCCCCGCTCTCGCTCCTCGGGATGTCTCTGTGGACGCCGTAGTGCGCCAGCATCTCCAACGCGCCCCGCTCCCCTTTGAGCTCCACCGCGGGCCCCAGACCGCTGGTCGCCACGTGGGACGCCGCGCCCACGTTGTCCAGGATGATGTAGTCGATGGGGTCGTCCAGCGAGATCGCGTCAACATGCCTTGCGCGCTTCCCATGTGAGCCGATCTCCTCACCGGCCGCGGGCCTAACCTGGCCCCTCGGGTCATTGGCGCGTCCTCTTCCATCGCGCTCTCCTCCTGAGGTCCGGCGGCTGCCGCAGCTTCCCCTCCAGGTCCTGCTGGTGCCCCTGGCAGAGCTGCCGCGCTTTCTGCTGCCGCTTGCGCCCCCTGGTCGGGCGCCCCCTGCTGCGGCGCCGCTGGCGCTGCCGCTGCTTATGTTTCTGCCTTCGCCTTCTGCTCCGCTGCCGCAAAGGCGAGCACAGGTAGAGGTCGCTGCATCTCGGGTAGCAGCTCGCACGGCTCGGCACCCCGCGCCTCCCAAGGCAGGGCCTTCACCGCCTTCATCAGCTTCGCGTCAGCCCGCAGCACTGGCCCCAGCCCCCTGCAGGTCCTGGTGCGATGCCACCCCGCAGGCGCCAGGAACAAGTGATCGTCGCTCTCCTTGTGATTCCCGATCCAGATGCCCTCCACGAAGCTCGACTCGCCCTGGCGCTCGAGCGACGTCGCTGCGATCTGCCTCGCGTGGGAGGTCGACACCTTGAAGAGCGCCGTCTCCGCTAAGGGAAGAATCTCGCCGTTGTAGGTCACTCCGAATGCTGCCTGATGAGACGCCCCACCATCGGCCCGTGGCACGTACGTAGAGGTTGCCCAACTAACGCATCTCGTAAGCCAGCACCAGATCGGTGCGTCCGCTGCGATCTTCATGCCGCAGCGCTTCCCCAAGTCGAACTTGCACGTCCTCGCCTTCGCCTGAAACCATCTGATCGGAGCCTCGATCGCGCCCACGCTCTGACCGTCCTTGAGCTGCCCGCGCTTCCCCCCCAGCTCGATGCTCTTGCTCAGCTTCTTGCGCGCCTCCTCCACCAAGTTCAAGAACGTCGGCTCGCCGTCCGTATTGATGTCCGCTGCGGCGAGATGCATGCCCTCGATGAAGCCGCTCTCCCTGGCCACCGCGTAGCCAGTGACCGCCTTGGTCGGGATCGAAGCCGCGTTGAACATCAGCGTGCCCCTGTCTGCCACCACGAGCGCCGCCGCGACAATGCCCGCCGCTGGCGGCTCTTCGCCCCCGATCTCCGCCCAGTCGCCGTTCGCCTGCAGGTAGCAGAAGTCCAGGGTGATCTGCGCCCCCCCATGTGTCCATCTGGTCGAAAGTGAGCGTCTTGCGCGGCTTGGTCGTCTCATTCCCTATCACGCAGGCCTCACACCACGGGGCTCTTGTGATATGCAGAAGTTCGCGCGCTGCTCGCTCCGCCTCCGTCGGCGCAGCTGGCCCAGCGACTCCGCGCGGCGCGATCGAGGGCCACCCCTGCACGGACTCCTCGCGCCTGCGCTCCAGCTCCTTCATCCTCGCGCGGCGAGGCGTGACCCTCCGCTCAGCGTCGCTGAGCCCCGTCCACAACTCGCCCTCCCTGCCGTAGATCGGCTGCCCCAGCTCCCTGAGCCTGGTCCTCGAGCCTGGTCCTCATGTCCTTCACGCGGCTGTCTGGGTGCAGCAGTACGGGTTGCCGAGCTAGACGCCCCCTTCCAACTCCTGCCGTTGGATGTTCAGGCCCGAGCCGCGCCGCCGCAGCTTCCGGCGCCACCGGCGCTGCTGCCGCCGCCTCCGCTGCCAGAGGCCCCAAGCGATTGCGCGAACTCCTCCTGCTGCTCGTTCGCGCGCACGCTGGCTGCGAATTCCTTCTCCTCCATCGTCGTCTTGAAGGTCTTCGCGTTGAAGCCCAGGGTGTCGTTCTTCCTGGCGAGCGGGGTGCCCTTGGCGAGGTCGCCCCCTGGGCACATGCACACGCCCGTCTTTGCGCTCGGCCAGAACTCCGCAACCTTGTCCATCACCTCGAGCAGCGAGAGGATCGGCATTGACACCGTGTCGCCCAGCCCGAAGTCTGCCTTCAGCAACTTCGTCTGCCCGTCGTCGTAGTCGACGGCCATCGGCACCGTCGCGACGGCGCCCATCTTGATCCACTGCCTCTGCGCGCCCAGCAGTCTCGGCCCAACATCCGCCACCTGCTGGCATCCCTCGCCGAACGCGGTCGGGCCGACGCGGCAGTCGCTCGCCGCGCCCAGCGCGATAAGGATGGTCCCGTCTAGATCCATGCCGCAGCATTCTGCGTCGCCGCCCTCGGCCTTCATCACCGCGCAGTAGAGCTGCTCGTCGTCGCAGATCTCGCACTCGAAGTCCGCGCACTCCATCTTGGCAACCGTCTTCGGATCCGCGCTCTCCTGCTCGATCGCAGCATTCCCTTTGGCCTTCTCGTCGGCTAGACGCTTCCTGCAGTCTGCCTTCTTGCCGCCCGTCTTGCGGCAGTAATCGCACTTGCCTGTGAATGTGGAGCTGTCCTTGCTTTGGCCTTTGTCGTCTGCGCTGAAGCTCTTGCCATTTCCTTTGCCGTCACCTTCTGCTTTCCTTGTCGCGCCAGTAACAGTCCCGCGCTGCGTGGTTCGGCTTGGTGCCGAGCTGGCGCTTGTTTTTGCCGCCCTGCTTGCCTTTCCCTTTGGAGATCGCGTCAACGCCCATGTCGTTGCTGCCTCTCCCTGCTGTCGGCAGCTTCGCCATCACTCCACTCTGGCCGATCACCGCCTCGAAGATACAGGTCCGCATCTGCGCGATGTCGCTCCGCGCGTCTCGCTGCGCCGACCGCAGCATGGTCTTCACGTCATCTGACGCGCGCGCCATGATCGTGCTCGTCTTCATATTATGCGCGACATCTTCGCCCGTCGCCCGCTCGCATCGGGAGATCAGCTCGCCCCAGGCTATCAGCACTTCCGCGAAGCGCTCCTTGCCTTCGCGATCCTTCCACCGGAGCGGCGTCCGAATCTGCTGTAGCATCTGGCCGCGAACCTCGTTCAGCCTTGGGCGGTACTCTCTTTGCAGCCTTCTCATCGCCTCGAAGCCATCTCCTCTGAGGCACAACTGCACGATGCTCTGCGCTGCGCCTTTTCGTCGCGCTCGCCAACAGGTGATACAGGCCCCTGCCGACCTGCACTCCTTGCTCGCCGATCTGCTCCACAGCGAGCGGCTCCTCTGCGTATCTGGCCAGTTCCAGCCCCGCTGTCCAGACTAGCAGCCCACAACAACTCTCGAACGGGAAGATCCAAACCTCGAAATCCTCCCTCTCGCCCGTGAACGTCGGCACCTTCCCGACGCCTCTGGAATCTAGCAGCTGCACCCCCGCCGCTGCTGCCTCGGCTGGCATGGCGCGCTGGCGCCACTAGCCTTCAGGGAAGGCTCGTTATCCTACACCTGTCACCATGCAGACATGATGATCGGGACTCGACGTTTATCTCGAGCTCTAGATGTGCTGTGGCGGGAGCCCCGCTCCACACAGTCCAGGCCCCACTCGGGCCATGCACACAGGGCCTCTTTGGGCCTGTCCTGCACGCCAGACCCGTCTGGCCCTGGCTCCACACTGAGAACCTCGGGAGGGGCCGCACACTCACTCACACGTGCAATAGCCCGATAGCCCTATAGCCCTATAGCCCTAATAGCCCTGATAGCCCTAATAGCCCTATAGCCCTTAGCCCTACCTATACGACCACCCTGCGGGTGATAAGGAGGTTTGGGGGGAGAGGGGATCCAACAATGGGCAACAGTGGTGATTCTTGCGTTGCCGCTCGCTCTTGGGAGCCTTGGTGCCGAGTTGCTTACGTCATCCTTCGCTTTGGCGCCTTGGTATCATCGATCCCACTCAATCGATCTCACTATCGATCTCTCTATCGATCTCACAAGCGATGTCGTTATCAGTATCACGATCGATCCCACCATCGATCTCACTATCGATCTCTCGATCGATCTCACAAGCGATGTCGTTATCGGTCTCACGATCGATGGGACCATTGATCCCACTATCGATCTCACTCGATCGATCTCACTATCGATCTCACTCGATCGATCTCACTGTCGATGTCACTCTGGGCCTCGCTATCGATCCCACTAACGATATCCCTATCGATATCACTATTCGTATCACTAACGATCTCACTATCGATCTCACGATCGATCACACTATCGGTCTCACGATCGATCTCACTATCGATCTTACAATCGATTTCGTCATCGGTCTCACTATCGTTTTCGCACCAGCGGGACACAGGGACACCGGCGGGACACCAGCGGGACACCGGCGGGACACCGCGCGCCACCTCTTGCCGGAGGGAGAATCATTTGGTCCGGCCAGGGCCCAGCCACAAGCGGGACACCGGCGGGACACCAGCAGGACACTGCGCGCCACCGCTTGCCGGAGGGAGAATCATTTGGTCCGGCCGCGCCTCAGCCACAGGAGACTTTCCTCTCGCCCGCCCACGCAGCTTCGCCTCGCCCGCACGCACGGCACGCACGAACACGAAACCGAAACCGATTTCCTGGTGGGTGGCTCTCCGTTCCACTTCGATCTCACCTCCCAACCTCCGAAAGCCCTATAACCCTATAGCCCTATAGCCCTATGTAGCTCTATAGCCTTATAGCCCCACAGCCCCAGGGCCCTATAGCCCTATAGCCCTATACCCCTTTATAACCCTATAGCCCTGTAGCCCTTTAGCCCTATAGCCCTATGGCCCTATAGCCCGATAGCCCTGTAGCACTAAATAGCCCTATAGCCGTTATAGTCATATGGCCCTATAAGCCTTATAGCCCTATAGCCCTATAGCCCTGCAGCCCTATAGCCCTAATAGCCCTGTAGCCCCGTAGCCCTCTAAAAAGATGATGCTTGGATTTTGTCTCTGGTATCATGTGTGTGTCGTGTGTGGTGTGTTGTGTGTGAATACTCTTAAACAATTAAAAATATTCGGTCCATCCGCCGGAGCAGCACGCGTTGGTGGAAGAATCCGGTCACGAATAGACTCGCGAAGCCTAGCCCCTCGCCTCTCATGAGGCTAACAAGCTCGGGGCTTCTTCACAGTGACCGCCGCCATGGGGCGGGCCGCCAGGGGCCCCACCGTCCGCCCCGCCCCACCACGACGACGACGACGGCGGCGACGGCGACGGCGACGGCGACGGCGACGGCGACGACGACGACGACGACGACGACGACGACGACGACGACGGCGGCGGCGGCGGCGGCGACGGCGACGGCGACGGCGGCGACTACGACGACGATGACGACGACGACGACGACGACGACGACGACGACGACTCGGCGGCCACGACGACGACGGCGACGGCGGCGGCCACCACGGCCGGGGGGCCTGCGCGACAAAACTGGAGGCCAGGGGCAGGCCCGCGCGCGCGGGGCGGCTCGGGCCACGGGAGGCCGGTCGCCGCAAGGGCCGCCGCCGCCGTCGGCGTCGTCGGCGGCGTCGTCCAACGTGCCTATCGTCGTCGTCGGCGCCGACGACCACCATCGTCGATGCTCGTCAGGACGTGTGTTAGCGAAAACGCGTGCTGGTCTACCGAAGCCCTTGAATACGACAAAGGTGGTGCAATGATGGCCAGCACAGGCCGAACGGGGGTACTCACACAGTGGGATCACACACGTCCTGATGATCATCGACATCGGCGTCGCCGTCGCCGCCGCCACGGCCGCCGTCGTCGTCGTCGGCGGCGCAGGCGGCGCCGTCGCACGAGGAGGGGGAGGGAAGAGGGGAGGAGGAAGCGGAAAGGGGAGGGAAGGGGGGGGCAGAGGATGGGGAAAGGAGGGAGAGAGGATGGGGAAGAGGATGGGGAGGGGGAGGAGGAAAAAAAATAGGTCAGACCGTGGGTGCAAGGCCGACGGACGGGGGGGATAAGAGGAAGGGAAGGCGAAGTACGAGCCCTCGCTCGACCTGCCGCCCCTCCTCACCCGCAACGTTGTCGAGGTCGTCTTCATCGTCTTCGTCGTCGAGGTCGATCTCTGAAGGTCTCGAGAGGTACCTGAAGGCCTCCCGAAAGCCCCCAGGTTCTGGAGGTCTCTGTCTCCGAAGGCCTCCACATGGCCTGTGGAGGCCTCTGGAGGCCGAAGAGGGCCGAAGACACCCACCGATCTCGATCTTCAATCCTCGATCCTCGATCTTCAATCCTCGATCCTCCTCCTCCTCCTCCCCCTCCTCCTCCTCCTCCTCCTCCTCCTCCTCCTCCTCCTCCTCCTCCTCCTCCTCCTAATAGATAACTCCGCCCCGTCGCACCCCGAAGCTGGTCGAAAGGGCGGGCCAGGCGTTTCGCCTAGGACTTCATCACCACTTATGACCCTGGTGCTGAACATTGAGAACGGCTTCACAGATGGAGGGCGGGTGGATTTCAAAATGTGGCTGCGACACTCTCTGATGAGACGTGCGCGCAGTGGTACGATACGGGGATCGTGTGGTAGCTCCGCTACCAGTGTGAATCTAATGTGTTTTAGCGCAATGGCAAAAAAGGGGGCCCTAGAGGTCAAACGGCGGCGACTGGCGCATATACACACGAGACACACGCACTATCTCACAATCGCCATTGTCGCTTTCATCGTCATCATCATCATCATCATCATCATCATCATCATCAACATCATCAGCATCATCGTCCGTCATCATCATTAGAATCAGCCGCATCATCATCACCGTCATCATCATCATCATCATCATCATCATCAGCATCATCACCATCACCATCATCATCATTTTCTTCTTCATCATCGTCGTCGTCGATATCGTCGTCATAATCATCATCACCACCACCACCATCATCATCATCATCACTATCGGGATCGTCACGATCGACGTCGTCATCATCAGCACAAGCACCAATGTCAGCATCATCATCATCGTCATCATCCTCATCATCACCATCACCAGCATCACCTGAATAATATCATCGTCGTCGCCGCCGCCGTCGTCGCCATCCTCCCCAGTATCCTTATCACCTTTAAGCCTCCTTCTACAACTTCTCCATGCAGTACGCGAGTATGCGCGCTGGGGATTGTCCGAATAGTCTGCTTGTTTAGGCTTGTGCAGTGCTTCTAGGGCCGACCCACAGCCCATCGCCGCACTCGAGGCAAAAGACACGCCCCCCCGAATATCCTTTCCTGGCGCTGCGCTCTGCCTCCGGACGACTCCAAGACGGCCACAGGCCGCCCCGTAACGGCTGCAAGACACCCAAAGTTCATCCAAAGACGACCCAACGAGTCCGAGGCGGTCCAAGATCAGGAGGGAAAGAAACACACAGACACAATTATTCGTCGATTCCCCAGAAAATATGTGAAAATATGGGAAGTGGGGGGGAAGACAGAAACCCAGAAAATATGAGAAAAGATGGGGAATACTTTTATTTGTGTGTATTTATTTGTGTGTTCTGGGGCCTCTTCACAAGAAGGCTCCTGGATGGCCCAACATATTTTTTTTTGGCTGGAGAAGGAGGGGCAAGCATGAGGGGGCGACCGCAACAGCTCTCGAGTCACCTGCGCACTCCGTGGCGACGCGCGGCAGGGATGGACCAGCGGCTTTATCTACAACAGCATCCCAGAAGCAAAAGAGCACTGGCGAGAAGAACTGAAGTGGCCAGCCGGGTAAACGTCACCCCATCCAGGGGGAGGGGGAAGAGGAGGGGGACGAGGAGCAGGCAGAGGAGAAAGGGAGGGAGAGGAGCCAGATTGCCAATGATACGAATTTGCCGTGCAGCGCATCTTTTCCTGGCCTGCCGAGGCGTTGTGCGGCAGTCCCCTTACTGAATGGCCTAGTCGGCCAAACCAGTAAAAGGGCTCCAAAAGGACGCCCACGAGGCCCTCGACAGGCAAAAATTATGTATGCTCCTGACGCTTTTGACTGAGTTTAGCATGCTCGTCTTCTCGGGCTTCGAATAACCAAGACGGCTCAAGAGGCCCCCAGGATCCCCCCAAGACGGCCAAGAAGGCCCCCGAGAAGGCCACAAGTCCCAAGATGGCCCAAGCGGGCTTCCTGACGGGTCCAAGAACGAGGGAGCGAGGTCGACTTTGCGACCCACGCGAATTCAGACCGCGTGCTGAACTTGCGTGGGTCGCAAGCTCACCCTAAGAGACTCCGAAGACGAGCCAACAAGATGCCCCAAGAGACCAAAAGTAGCCTCCAGATGCACCAAGAGGCGCCAAGAGGTCCCAACGAGCCTCCAAGACTCTACAACGTGTCCCCATGCCCCGACGAAGACAACGACGGTCTCAGGGGATCACCCGTGGTCCCGTGAGGTCTCCAGAGATCTCGGTGCCTCCGGTTTGTCACACGACCAGAAAGAACAGCCAAAGACGCCGATCCTCATCGAACGGGACGAGAAGGGAAC